CCCCCCCAAGTGAGTTGAAACTTTCTATATAGATTCATACACCACGTTGCTGACACCTTCGCTCCCACAAGCAACTGCATCCTGCTCTCTCATACCTCCAAGCTATTTCTCTACAGAAGTAAGTCCTACAAATCACGATCTCCCTTCTCCTCATCGTGTTGTGTGGTGAGGTTCCTTAGGAAGTAGAAGTCCGCCTACTGTTCATTATTCGAACACCTGATTTTGAATAGGATAGGCTAAAACTGTCGAAAACGATCCTAAAGACTAAATGAAAAGCTTTTTACAGTAAACATTGGAGACACGCCCCTACAAAACCAAAGTTCTTCAAAATGGCATTGATGGAATCAGGGAAAAAATAATTCCACGTCTTATCGGCCTGCCTCCTGGCCGAAAAGGAATCGAGGTGGCAAGATAGACGAGTCGACTTCCTTGAGACTGGAAGTCAGTCCATGGAATTTGAACAACCAGACGTTACAAAGTAAACTACACTCCTATGAGATCACGGATAATTCAAGGCTTCTATAATTAGAAAACGCATGACCCCTGATGCTCTGACCTCATTGGTCACAGTGAGCTTTGTTCTGGTACCTTCCATGGCTACAATATAAAAGAGCTTTCCGCACTACATTGGATAATAGCAATTCCGACCAAAAGGTAAATTCGAAGATGTCACTAGCAGCCCAACATTCTGCAAAGAAATAACTTAAGATGGACTAATAGTCAACTTGAAACACCTCTTTTGCCATTGGAACACAGTGACTGCGTAGTAAAAGCGAAATCAACGTACTAGGGGCCCCGAACTTGCGGGTGTACTTTTCAAAGTAATTCTTCATGCTGGCTAATCCTTTGGTGTTAATAGAGGACTGAAGATTAACTCGTTCAAGTCTGAAAAAAAGAAAGATATGTCATCCATTTTTTCTCTGAAATAATAAGGTGGACGGGGGTAGTTACCACTTACCGCTCAGCAAATGTTTGCTGTTCATTTATTCCAACATTGAAATGGAATGGATGCAATGTGAGAGCAATTCTACCTCGAGCTAGAACTTCTGATGGTGCTCGGTCCCAGGCTGTTCGAGGGATTGTTAACTAGTGAACGAAAAGAACTGGGTAGATAAAACATCTAAAACTTTCTGAATAAATACATTCTGTTAACTTGCCATTATTTCATTGTGACTGAGAATTTGGGCTGTTGGTTTAGTTAGACCACTTCCTGTCCGCTCATTCTCATCGATCATCTCCTCATTTTTGCTATTTTTGCTCTTAATGGAAGGAGTGACACAGTCACTGGGTCGGATAACAATCCTGCAGAATTCGAGACTCTGAATGGCCCAAGCCCAATTCTCCAACATGGACATTTCTTCACCATAGCAACTCAAGAGGCCTTCAAAGTGGAGCGGAACTCCACAGCGAACCATTTGTTTCCATTCAGTCGGCGACCAATGCGGTATTGCCAAGGAGAGGCCTGTTAGGATTGTTGTTAGAGCCTGAAGATAGGAAAGGAACTCCACATTAAGATCACATAAGATCAAACTGCTACGTAAGATAAATGAAAGGAGAAAAAAAGAATTGAAACTGTAAGGAATTTAATCGGAATTTGTGAATGTGAAGCAACGAGCTGTCCATTACGTGAACAATTAACAGTTCGAACCCCGAGTCTTTATGACACTCATTGACGCCCTTCCTTAATCCCTTAACATACTTTAATGTTACCTGTTTGGAGTTATAATAGTAAACAAGCACAAAAAAGAATCGATTACTGAGTAGAACTCATGAAAATTCCATGAATATAGTCTGTTCCAAGGGAATTGCATCCAACGATTTCCCACAACCATACGGGGTAGTAAAGTACATTTCTTGCTATGCGTGCATCTTATGCAATTAGAAGTGAGTGTTAAGTCAAGCTTGAGATGCTCTTGTTGGAACTAGAAGGGACAACAGAAGTAAAGCAGAAGCTGCAAGGGTGAAGCAGAATTATCTAAATAGCTACGATTATAAACTAAGAAAGGGAAAGAGCGTGAGAAAGAATTGATATGAAAATTTGGCCTGAGACTTGACACTTTAAAGACTTTCAAAGGAATTGACCAGGTTTCGCAACAAAGAGCACAGAAGCTGCCAATACTTCATGAATAATACCTCAAGTTGCATAAAATCAAAATAATGTCGAATCGTTCATTTACTTGGCATAGGGAAGTATGATGTCGATAGTGAATACTGTCCCAGATACTGGACATTGTCTGGAGGTTCATTCCTGCTGATGAGTTCTCACAAGATGATGCAGCCGCTGCCAAATTGGACAGGACTTCTCGCCACAAAGACTCTTCAACCTGCTCCCAAGTGCGGAATAACACCTTCTGTAAGCGCGTGGATGTTGAAGCGATCTCCTGGAGTACTACGTCGCGATTGGTATCATTCACTGGATCACTATAAGATGAAAAAATAGGTGGGCGACTCAATAATTCACTTGTAAGCATAACGTTCAAATTTTTAATAAGTCTGTTTATTCACACATATGTCACAAAGGCGTCATTTTGTGTGAATGAACAAATAGATCTAAATATTGACTAAAAGGGGAGATCTGATATGCTCACTCGCAACTTTTCCTAATTCTGGTGTCATTATTCTATGTTTTGATTTATTTTCTCCCACTGGCATGCGCTGTTTATGTCAAGGCGAAAATATAAGTATAAATATCTGATTTAATGAAATTAAAATTTTCTTCTATTTCCTCTTTCAATTACTATTGAAATTAGGATTAAGCCTAAGTTGAGTTATGTGCACTAATATAATATAATTTGGATTGGACATAATTAAGTCGAACAATCGTTATTTCTCACTATAGCAAAGAGAACTTGTGCGTGTCTTCCTTCTAGCTGGGATATCGGCTTGTAGATTCGTCCAACTTTAGTTTTGAATGTCATATTCATAGCCCGATTCATCAAAAAATCGATGACAATGGGTTGCTTCACGATTAAATGATTGAACTAAGCCAATTCAGGCGTTCAACGTAATCTTGTAAGGCACAGGCAATTGGCACTTTACAATCTCAGTCCATGTTTGTCGTAACATTCATGATACTGCATAGTGTAAACCAAGAGAAGACGAAGATATCCTTACTTCCATCATAGATAGATTCGAAAAAATCATTAGAAATTGGTATAGACGATTCCATCAAAATATTCGAATGGTAAGATAGTGAGAAGAAAAGTATAAAAAATGTAAACAATGAAAAGATTGGGCTAAGTGAATTTAATTCACTTCAAAGTGACGACCACCATTGACAATCTAAGCTTGATGTAAATAATATTGAAAAGCACTAGAAATTTCTCACATTTAATGATCACCATCAGGTTTTATTATAAATTTTAAAAGCATTAAATATTCGATAAAAAATTATGTATCAACAAAACAACGTCCGTTTACTGAAGCAGAGGTCGTAAAAGGAAAAACAACAAAAATATCCATGACACGATATTTCCGTTTTTTGCATTTCCTGCAAGCAAATATATGCCTAAACAGTGCAAAATGTGATAAAGCACCATAATAAACGAACCTCTGATTCGAATCCAGAGCTGACAGGTCAGCTACACGTTTGAGAAGGGGTTCATAACTTGACCGGAGTTCCTCTAAGAAGCCATCACTAACTGAAGCACTTTTGAATATCCCCATCAGCGCAGTCATCTAAAAGGTCAAATATTTTGCTCAACTACTTAAATCGTTTCAGCGTCCGACTAAGTCCAACATTCTTACACCCTTTTCAAGCCTTTGAGATAAGATTCCTGCCTGACCTGTTGGTCCCAATCTTGTATTGAGTTCTGAAAGGTCACCACTCAGTCGGACAGCCACAACTCCACCTGTAGAAAGATTTCTGAAAGCCATTCCAATGCTCTGCTTGTCGTATTGAAGAGCTGAAGAAACCAAAACACGTGCAGTTGGAGAATTGCGCAGCATTTCTGTGAGACTCGCACTGTGATGGGGATTGTGATTGTCGGAAGCTTTGTCCAGGTTGGAGACAGTTGCTACTGTCTGGAATAGGCCCTTAGCCTTGAATTTGCCTGAGGAAGAGGTAAAGGCGCCAACGGAAATTATATCATGAGAGGAGACTAAAACGAATTAAATTAAGAAAATTAAGCCAACCTGCTTATTTTTCAAAAGTAAGCAATATTTCAACAAGCAATCGTTAAGCCTTTCATTCACTGTTGACTACCCTACAATCACTAACCCCTAATCAGACAATAGCTAAATTACCTAATTATAAATTCGCGAGCCAAAAGTGCATTCACATAAGCGCATTAGCAAATGCAACTATGACTTTCAGCTGATTGGTAAAAGTCGCGAACAAGTGCACATGTAAACCTCTATGTAAGCAATGAGCTCATTAAAACAGTCAGCTTTTGATAAAGAAACATTTCAAGATGAAGACACTGCATATAAACAAACAAGTATGTGGGTAGTAGAAACGAACCAACATTCCGAAATAGCAGCAAGGGCCGAAGTAAATAGTAAATTGACCAGATATGGGTTATACAGACGAGCATTCAAGATTAGGAAAAGATGACTTACTAAGCCTATTATCCGAGTCCAACAGACCGATTCTATTGACATGGAGATTTGTTGGGACAAAGTCCAATTCGGAGCATTTGCGTTCGGTACTTCGCTTGAAACTTGGACCTGAGGGCAAAAAAGTTGGAGGGCACGTGTGAATGCCAAAAGTAGGTAAAGTAGGAGGAACAAAAAGGCATTATAATGCACCCAAGTGCAGTGATCTGACGCAAACAAGCGTTGACTAGCACTGGAAGCTTAGGATGTCACAGGAAAGAAATTGACCAACAGAAAAAAAACACAATGGGAAAAATGGACAAGTTACTAACCAATGCTTATAGGTTTTTTTCTATGGTGAATAAAGACAAACCCTTTGTCTCCCGCGTGCAGCTTTACACCTCTGATGATATCATTAAGTATTGAGGTATAGGACAACACATTCAAGTTCCAATAGTCTTGGGGTGTGTGATAGACTTACCTCCACGTGGTGCACCCTGGGCAACGTATACTCATACGGCAAAAAAAGTCTTAACTGGTAGTTGACTTCTCACTTCAAACTACCATGACCCCACTGTATGTCATATTCCACTTCTTCCGTAGTACTCACCTAACCTTGCCTTTTTCTCTGCCTTTGTGTCTGTCTCTTTTACATCTTTGAAACGCTCTTTTGTTCCCCCACCCCTCTCGATTTTTTTTCACTTTGATATTCATCTTCCTCTCTGCAAAGCCTGAAGTCAACTAAAGGGCTAATGATAACTATCAAACACCTAGTTTTTGGTATAAATAAATTAATTTCTCCAAACTCTAGAACGGTGATTCAGACATACTTCATCAGCAGTCTTTAGAATGATATCATATCACATACCAAATTGAAGTGTTTCAGGATCTCCTTTTCAAGCGGTTGCTGGTATTGGCAAATATGCCTTGATGCGAGATAAATCCCCTTAAATTATTGCAAATTATTGTCTGACTTATACGCATATTCAACTTGCTCGGTGCAGCTTCAGCCTTGAGATTTGTTAAAACAAAGCAACGTACGGAGTTTGCATCCACTACGCCAGTTGGCCAAATAGCGAGAAATGTGAGTATACTTTCCGTGGAATAAAATAGGAGTCAAAGATAGCACCATGACCTGTTCTTGAATATTACCACATTTTATAAGGTTTTTGGGCGAGATTATTTCTTTCTCACAAGCTTAACAGACGCATTCCACTTTCCATAGTCCTTGAAGCAACATACCACATTCATATGATTTATGAGTATCCGGGGTAAGTAAAATGGTATTTTCACATTTACGCCTCGCGTCTCCCAATAAAGCATTCATCTATCTACAAAGTTATATTTTCTCCAAAGAGTAATCTGTTGGTGCACAAGAATCAACGATATCCAGAGGTATATTGACCAAAGCAAATATAGTTGTAGCCAGCACATTGGAAATAGGTTTGAAATTGTAAAATTAAAATATGGAAATAAGGACAAGAAATGTGACGCCCCTCAATTGGTATGGAGCCTTTTCCATAACCAAAGTTAGAAACAATGAATCTGAGAACTATTTTCATTTTTGTGATATTTCAGCAGTTTTAGTTTCTGTTAGAACTGCTGGGTAAATTTTGCGAACAGACAGTTGATGCGCAATAGATAAGAGTGCCAATTCAACGTGACACGACAAGACGTTTCAGAATCAAAATGCTAGAATTCGTCGATTTGTATCACGACGCGACCACTCGAGTACAGAGTTGTGTCGAATTTTGGCTTGAGCTCTAACTCATATTCATAGTATTTAGAGTTGATTGGTCATAACGCTGTTTTAAGTAAACAGTCCAGCCAATTAAATTTTTAGGTTCTTCATATAAAAAGCACAGTTCAGCCATTTCTTCAATGATTGATTGTTTTACTTTTTCTCCACTGAAATAATCTCAATCATCACAAATTATAATATGCATGACGAGCTGTGTTGGCTTCAAAATTAATCTAAAGCTTAGCCAATCGCTATTCATGAGAGACGTAAAGTATCACACGCAAGACGATGGGATTAAATTGAACGGTTTCTTGGACATGAATTATTCATTCTCATCCAGCACCTCTGGACGGAAGTTATTCACCCTTACGCTTGGGTGTGGGGGGGGGGTCCAATGTGAATGCTTTCCGAAATCTGTTGAACTAACGGGAGAGATTCCATTTGTCCAGTAAAACTTCCGTTAAATTTGCTTCCAGTTTAAAAATTGAAGCTGCATGATTTGGACACAATGAATCCATTCCACTGTCACGTCCCTTTTTGAAATGGGAAGTTGCCTCCTTACACTGCCAACAAATAGTTCATAAGGATTGTTGAAGTTAGACGAGGAGAATGCAAAAGAGCGATAATCAGACCACAATAAGTGGATGGCATTGCAGGACACAATATTTTTTTGGTCCATGACTGATTGATGCCTGGCAGATGGTGTTGATGACGACACCGGTTGTGGCAGATTTAATTGGTATATCAAGCCACTTTGAACATGAATCCATCGGAATAATAAGTTGCTTGGATGGGCTGAGCAAGAGTGAAATCAATGTGATACCAAGGATTCCTCGTTTGAGAGCACACTAGATCCTCTTGATAAGAAAGTGCGGAATCGCCTACATTTTTGTGAAACCACTTTTGACATTGTTTCATTTATGAAGGAAACAGATTTAGCAAGACTTATTTCCTCGCCTTCTTTATATCTACCATCCTCAACTGTTCCGATTGCTTAGAATGACAAATGATCATGGATATGGCACTATTGTAGTTGCACTACCCAAGGCTAGAGATGGAATTATGGTAATGATTTATGAATTCTGTGGGAAACACGAGTGAGACCAACTTTCTGTCCTTTTAGGCGACATACTTGATTTGCCTGGTGACCGGCATTGTAAAATCACTTGAGGTAATATGTCCTGACCCCTTTTATAACCCAATTAGCTCCCCAAAGTAACTGACTCACCCCCTCCCCCTAGAACTCAACAATAGTCCATAAATACCTCAACTGTAGGTTTCACTCCGAAATTATACACGGTATAACCACCAAGCCATTCCAAAAAACTCAAGTTCTACAAATAATTAACCCTTACTTGTTAATTTACTTTTTATAGGTCATACATTATTTACTTTCCACCCAGCAGTTTTGTCATATGCAATAGCAGTACATTTAAAGGAGCATATAACTTTTTTTATAATTTTAATATTAAAATTTATTCAAGGGTGACAAGAAGGACTTGGGTACTTATATCTAAATTTCACATAAATAGTGATATAGCATAAAATCATTCAGTGTTAACACACCCATAATGAAAATGTTAGCAAGGGTAAAAGTAACTCTGAATTCAATAATTTAGACATCAGTTTTGAACATCGTAAACAGAAGAGGGGAGACTTGGGGGCTTTAAGTGCCCACTGCCGAGACAAAGCATAAAAGGCTTGAAAAGGAACTCACTGTAAAGATCTCGAGACTTTTAAATATCCCAAAGTGGCAAGTTATTGATACGAGATGCGGTTCGAAAACCATTAGCTTGATGGCCAAGAACTTTCGTGCGAAATTCAAGGTTATAGTTGTCAATAAGGGTCTCGAGTGGTCTAAGGAACTAATAGTGAAAATGTATGCATAGCTCAAACAAAACTCATTCCAAGTTTGACCTATTTTAGGTAGGAAACCTGCAAAAAAAGACACAAAGTGGTAATGTTCGTGTTCCCCCTCGAGATTAGCAATTTTTGCAGATCGTCTCAAGGTCACCCATCATCCTTACCAATATACAGACCATTGTGCTTCAGATAGTTCTGCAGAACAAAGCTGTCATCCGTCCGACGATGTTTTAATCTCAAGGTAACGGTAATATGACAAATTGTATTCATGTATTATTTTGCAAAAGTAATAAACCTGACTTTTTTAGATAGAGAATTGCTTTTCAACCACCCTAAAGTAGAAAGTCACTCACCCATATGGTCCACGGTGCTTCGCAGGCATAGCTCATAGAGTTCGATTGTGTTTTTCATACCCATCAGACGCTCCCTACGAAGACATTCAAGAGTGGGATCCGACTGAAACCCAAAAAAACAAAACGATTTTAAGCTCATAACTTCATTTCAAAAGACTAGATTTGACAATGGACAACTAATAACCAGGCAATATACCAACACTTTGACAAAATATGGTTTGACCTAAGAATAATGACTAGTAAAGTAGACAGTTAGTATACGTATATAATACGGACAGTCGGCACTAGGATAAACAAATTGATAAATCATCTCTTAAGTGTGTTCAATGCCCAAAAATGCATTCACAAGAAGGTCTGTTTTAAAATCACGGTCTTCTGACTATTGCGTCTTGATGGATTTGAAAGGAGAAGGAAAATAAGGAGCGAAAAAGGGAGTCATAAGAAATGAGGTAATACGGATCATTAAATACTACCAGGTCGATAGGTGTGATGTGTACAAGTTGATTTAGCACACATTGCTTACCACAAACGTTAATTTGTCAATAAGTCTTCAGCTAATTCACTTCAGACCGTCGTTTATTTATAGTTGGTCGTTGTAAAGCACAATTTCCTATGTCTCTCCAGGGGTCACCCCAAGAGAAAATTATGCCAGGGTTACTGCATTACATTAATAGCACAAACTAACCACTGTATGGAGGATTTCAGGCCACAAAACTCACACAATATAATAGGTCATGTCAAGATAGCGATGATCATTACAATAAGACCAGATTTATAATTGTACAACAGGGGTGTGAGATAGACTTACCTTCACGTGGTGCACCCTAGGCAACGTATACTCATACGGCAAAAAGGTCTATAAACCGGCAGTTGACTTCTGACTTCAAACTACCATCACCTCACTGTATGTCATATTCCACAGCTTTCACAGTACTCACCACACATTTTCACTACCTTTGTGTCTGTCGCTTTTACGTCTTTGAAACACCCTTCTATTCCCCCCCCCCACTCCCGCTCGACTTTTTTTCACTTTAATGTTCCTTCCCCTATGTGAAGCCTGAAGCCAATTAAAGGGCTAATGATAACTATCATAACGCCTGCCATTTGATATAAATGAATAAATAATTGTACAGCAGCCACACAATCTTATTGAAATTAAGCCTAAGCCCAACAAAGAAAGCGTTAATAGCACGAAGACGAGAGACACACCAATGGGCCAGGCAGAGGAGACTCGTCCCCCACCACCCCTCTTGTTAATCAGAATCAATCATTCACGTCACTAGATCTGCGCCGACGTGCACTGACCCCATGACCGGTGACTTGGCAAATGTGCACATTAGCCGCCCCACCAAAAAACATAAATCAATAGCTCCTCTGGATATAAGCCTTATTTTGCTAGAATTAAATTTCAAAATAACAGCTTCAAACTCTTGTTTTGAGAATCACATCTAATTTAGGTAAAAAAAACAGCCCGATCGTTATCTTTCAATCATTAACCACTTGTGAGTGCTGAATTAGGTCATTGTAAACGTATGGGTGATTTTCGAATTTAGGACATCGGAGACAGAATATCTTAGCCACCGGTACACTCTAACTAAACTTTTCACCTAGTTCTATTTACTTGGATTATGAAATGGAGTGTATAGGTAGAGAGGACAGTGGGACAACTGATGAGCAAGTGGTAATCAATCATGTGTCAATTTTTTTAATGTTTACTGGAACACTTCGTTTGGCGAGGCCTTTACAAACCGTGTCCGCGACTTTTAACCTAAAGGCTCAAACTATACTTCCAACTAAATTATTGTTTGCAAATCTACAAGAAGAAGGTATGGCCTAATACACTTGATTAAACTTATTATAACATACTTTAACAATATCAACGCAATATTGCCCTTTGTTCAAACATGAGTATATGGTGCTGTTACTAGATAATTTAAGCAAAAAGGTATTACAAGGGGTGGGAAAGGGGCCAGATGATAAAAGAATAGAAATCCTACCGGTGTGTTAGAAGCATGAAGATGAATATTGGTGAACAGCTGCATAGAGTCAAGTCAATTGGACTATTTGTAACATCAAAAGGGGGAGACCGATAGTACAATTATTAATACAATAATCAGTACTCTTAATTAGGTATCGAAATAATAATTACGAAACCTTAATTGATATTTATTTGAGGCCATCTCGATATCTTCAGGAACAAGAAGCTGGTAGTAGAAGCATTAATTTTTTTACTTAATTAAAATTAGATCATGTAGTGGAAGATACAATGATAATATGAATTGTCTGATGCATGTATAACCATATTGACCCTACGGATGTTTATCAGCAGATCAATCTTATCCCAAAATACAATATATTTTAGCCGAATGGGATTAAAACAACTAATTGCCAGAGGTAACGCAACCAATATGTTTTCATTAAAGTAGGCTACAAAATATTCAGAGCATAAATTTAAATCTCCGTTTATCTATGCTTTGCTTTCATCAATTTTGTCTAATTGTGGGGTGCGCGATAGACTTACCTCCACGTGGTGCTCCCTGGGCAAACGGCAAAAAAAGTCTATTAACTGGCAGTTGACTTCTCACTCCAAACTACTATGACCTGATTCTATGCCATATTCTTTCACTTCCACAATACTCGTTTTACCTTTTCTCTGTATTTGTGTCTGTCTCTTTTACACCTTTGAAACACTCTTCTCTTCCTTCCCCCCCCCCCTCGCAACTTTTTTTCTCTTCGATCCTCCTTCCCCTCTGTGAAGCCTGAAGTCAACTAAAGGGCTAATGATTACTATCATAACGCCTGCCATTTGATATAAATATTTTGCCTAATTGTAAACGGTTACCAAACACCAGTAATAGTGCCAAAATAGCCACATGATTGGCCCTAATGCGTGACTAATAGGCAAATACCAATTTATGGCATAGAAAAAGGAGACTTGATTTTAATTAATGGGAATTGTCATTTAAATCGGTGATGAACCAACGAAATAATTAATGCAATTACGCACACAAGAACACTGAAACACAGGTGTATCATTAAATTATGATTTAGCTTGCGTTAATGACGTAACGGTTAACAAGCTCGTCAACGAAGTCAGCAATCACATGCTCGATGTCCACCGAAATAAACGCAGTGGGTGGATAGCCACCAATCGCACTGGTATCTCGTCTAGCTAGCTTTTCACCATAGATTTCAAAATTCTACCTCCCTAACCAAGCTGAGAGTTTGGCGTTACAAGATGAAAAATAACGTTCAAGCTAATTGAAAGGGGGCTTCGCTTAGCTTTAACCAATTAGAATGACTATGACATTCAGTTCTAGAATTTCCACGGACTGCTCTTGAATAAAAAATGTCTCCGACTTAACTCTACAAAACTTTATTTCAATAGAAAGCTTCAAAGCTAAACTAAAATTGAATGCTTGCAGACTCAATGCATCAGATACATGGTTTTAGGAATTTGAAAGTTATACGAGTTTAAGTAAGTAGACTTTTCACAATTCCACTGAAAGAAACGAATTTTAAACCCCAAAAAATTATAAAATAACAATAGCGGAACGTACCATTCCAATCCGAAGAAGTGAATCATAGAGCAGATGTTCTTGAGTGATCAATGACTTTCTAAAACGCAATTCAGAAATATTTCATTACTTAACAGGTTTAGAATGGAAGATTATGCCAAAACTTAACCGACGACTTACAGGTATTCAATAGGGAATTGGAAACAGATTCGAGATTCGCCCATAAACTCCACAACTCGCATATTCCCCCCAAGAGTATGAGGAAAAACATAATTTCGGGTCAAGATAGTCTCACACACATTTCGCAGCTGTTGACTGTCGGGATCAAGCTGAAATGAAAACGAATTGGCTACTACACCACTCGTCCTTTTCTAGGAACAAAAAGGTAATTGAATGGCAACTTACATGATCAAAATCAGGACCATTTGCACGCTGATTCAAAACCTGGACAACTAGAAGATAATCCGAATTGCTAGTAGTCTCCGATTCCACGTGTAGGTGCAAATTTAACGTTGAAGCGCTGTGCAAAGCTTCTGCTGTTGTTTCCGCACTACTAATTACGCGACTCTGCAAAAATTTAAGCACATTATCGGCCAGTGGGGAAAATTAATTAACCAAACAAAAGTAAAAACGTACCAAAGAGGAATGAATATCCTTAAATTCCAATAAGCTGAACATTATAAGTGAAGATTTGGAGACCTTTTCGGAGTTTAACTTCACGGTTTTCAAGAAAGTCAAGCATGCCTTCGTCTAGAGAGCAAATAATGGATTTGATTTCCTTACTTGAACCTCTGTTTCTGCTATTAATTCCCAAGTATCCCCAATTTCAGGTTGTTTGACATAAATCATAAACTGAAGGCCCAAATCAGGATCAAGGAAAGTGGAAGCATTTTCCTCAAGGAGACCTAGAAGGAGGACAAATCCATTAAAAGTAATGAGTACTATTAAGTGTACTTGTAAAGACATTAAATTTCACACATGGAGGTAACACACGTAAATTAGAGTAAACTGTATTAATTTATTAAAACCAGTGACTCACTTAATTGGATTTCTAATCCGGATTCATTAAATTCATCGGGATCTGAAAATTGTCAAAAAAGTGGAATTAGTTAGTCAATGGTTTGATACCTACCGCAGGCAGATCGAGGATTAAAAGCTGGGCTAAGAGGATCGAGGGGATCTTTTCCTGTTAAATGTCGTATTTCCTCTCTAAGTTGTAATCTACGAGCTGATAGCTCAGAAAGACCAGCTTTTGAGATATGGTTACACCACATATTAGCTTCTTCAGCAGAACGCGCAGCAAAAAACATGGGAGGGTCACCACATTCAAAAACTAAATTTAATCAAAGGAAAGATCAGCCAAATACCGATCTGGAAGGCATTCTGTACAGCAGTATCAACTACAGTTTTAGCCTGGCATCGCTCAAGAAGAACAACTCCGACCAGATCTTTGGAACTTGCACCTTCGTTACGAAAGATGACAAGAAGATTGCCTTTTAGCCGGCACCAATGCTCACTGAAAGCTAATTGAAGATTAGAACAGTTAAAAATATTCTTTACAGCTGGATCGCTTGAAAAATGATTCTGATTTCTGTTTGAGAAGAAGGATTCCTTCAAATGTGGAACCCCACTGGGTTGATATATGCCTAAGATCTTCGCCGTTGAATCTAAAATTAGTTTTGGTAATAAAGGATAAATAGAGTAGCATGACCAAGATACAATGAAACTAAAAATAGTTGAATAACAAGAAAATATATACAAATTCATCATGTTTAAGACAATTAAATGAAGCAAAATCGAGACGTATAACTAACTTCATGAGCATGTACAAGCTGCAAGGCTTGACAATCTGGATTCAAGGACGTTTAACAATTATCCAGTGAAAACGGCGCAAAAAAGGGTAATGTTTATCGTTGAGTAAAATAAATTAAATATCGTAAAAAACTGAATAATAAAAAATATGTAGTAAAGCTTACAATGCAATTAGCTACGATTTTTTCGGTGCTCTTTACCGATTCTCTTTTTCATTAGATTTCTCCCACAATATTTATATTGTTCAATTCTTGATGCTAAAATATGGTGCATATTAATCCACTTTATACATATCCAACCTTTCTAACTATCGAATCTGACATTAAATCTTAAACGCCGTATGAATTTATAGCGTTTTAATATGACTTCGGTCATATCAAAATAAGCTTATTTAGCAAATAGTATTTCAATAGTTATAGACCAATAATTCAGGACTAAGTAGATACTTTAACACAGGCACGCGGGCAACGGTGTTGCCTCGATCAATGTTAGAGTACCTATAGTAACAAAAATAAATGATTCATACACCCTGAAAGCTGATATAAAATATAAAATATATATTTGTGTATACAGTTGCTGAATAATTCTCATTTTCTGTAAGACACCGAGTTGCACAAACTGAAAACTAAATATGATTCAATGTTTGATGCTTCTTACTACTTTTTTCTTTTCCCAATTTCTTATTAAACGAATTATTCTGAATGAACAGTTTTTAAGAAGTTTTACAATTTTTGGTTGATTACCCTAATAATTGATATTAATCATCTACCCATACATTTATCCGAAATATTTTCATATCACTTCCAACTCTTCAATTTATTCAAGATTATGAGGATATTTGCTTCTTTAAAATGGGTTTCATTATTTTTCAGTGTCTTTCATGAAATCTTGCAATTATTCCGCATTTATTAACTTTGCACTTGTAATCGTTATTTCGCTCTCATTTTAACTATTTAATGCTGATGTTCACTATTGAGCGGCTTCTTTTTTTAAAATTTAGGAGCTAATATGTGCGATTAGTTATTTTCAGTGAGACAAAGCTTTCAACTAGTGTATTACATCCACGATTTTGAATTTTATTTAAAAATAGCCGACTATTTATTTTGTTTAGGGTGTGAAAATTTTCTTTGTGCTTTGTTCCTTATAGCTCTCATTTTTCCAACACTTTAAGGTCCCGAAATAGTGCTAGGATGTATAAAAAGAGATCAAGAAAATGCCCTCTTAGACTCGAAGGCATTCCTCTTCTATTGATCAATCTTGCAAGTAAGGCAAACGAGTGGTCAATTCCTAAATCCTATCTGATATAAAAATGATAATTACTAAGAAATTAATAATTTATTTAGTATCTATCATTCAGCTTCTTCTTTACATTTTATTCCTATCACTTGTTTTTATATTTACCAGTAAATGGCGCAGTGAATTCCTCAAATCTTGGAAACTAAGCATCGGTTACATACAGAAGGATTATATGTTATTATGCATTTCACTTTATTTCTTCGTATTTGTCGTCCCAGCTAGGTATGCATACCTGAGTATATTAATCGCATGTGTAAAAGGAGACAGTAATACGATGTCATAATAACTTAAACGCTGTGGTCATGTTCTAGTAGCTTTCATGCGCAGAAAATCGATGTTGCCTTCTTTAATATTTCGCTTTATTTCATCTTATTCGTGTTCTTTTTTTAAATTCTGGTAATTGAAATCTTCGCAAAGGAATGACGATCTGTCTAAATCATTAATAGCTTCTAAGGTAGTTCATGCTGAGGTTTTACTTGCGTCATTACCCATCATGCACTTTGGTGAGTGTCAAAATTGATTGTCCTAACTTGGCTCATGTACACATTAACAGACATGTTAGGATATCTGTCTAATCGTCTACCTGAATATTTTCTGGAAATCGATTAAGCAACAGAAGCTCACAGTTCGATGAGCGAAATAACTTTTTAACTTATAAACTTTGAAGGAAAAATCAAGTTAATAGGGCCGGGACAAAGGTGGAATGATGGATAAAAAATATTGGAGTTCGAAGATTAGAGCAAGTGACCATCTCACGCCCTGGCAACCACGCTCTTCTTAGTCAAAACGGGTGCTTGATTGAGTAAGTCCTATGCCAAACAAATTCTGTTCCTCACTGTTAGTCCAAGCTCTACGCCTCTATTAATGAGTGCTGGCTTTGCCTACTTCCAATTTCTCAGTAGCAACGCGATCAGTGACTTGCGATATTCCAATTACAGGATTCAAAGATTTAATTTATTTTCTATTTTCATCTTTCAATCATAGTTGGTGTTCAGTAATATGATTAACGTATTTATACGGAATTCATCATCAAAAATTCTATTTTATTCTACACCAAATATCGGTTTAACTTCGCTAGAATCGCGATTCACCCTTTTTTAACCCCTTCATAATTTGCAAGCTCAGCTGAAATGCACTTTGGCATCAAGGGAAGCTCGACTTTTACCATTTATTCAACAAGACATTTAGATTGGTAATTCTAACCAATGGGCGTCCCATTAGCACTGAGCCCGTGTACTTTGACTTCGCATAAGAAATGGGTTAAACGCTGAGATATATAACCTCATCACCTCTTTAATTGAGTGCTTCATCTACACACAATGTAGCTCTGTCTCTCTCGCTCTCAATATTACCCAGAAGAAGAACTTGATTTCCATCTGACAACAGCGATTCTCCAGTCCTATTGCCGAAATATTAGCAGCAAATCCGGCAGCTATTAACCCGGCCCATTTCTTCTGAATCCTTGTTTTCCTTTAAAGCACAAAATAACATCAATCGCTTGATGATTATAGCTTCACACCCATACTTAGTTTGGCGGATGAAGCCTGTAGAAGATTGGACCATTTGACGTCACCTATGAAGAAGATACATAGTATAAAGAACCATTTTAGGAGGAAAATTGCGAGATTAGGAGGTAATTATCTTCGGGAATGAGTTTTTCCCTAAGGAAGTTTATTCAAAGTAATTTCAAGCTTTTTTAGGAGCTCTGTGATGGGAAGGGCGTCTAAAATACATTTTCAGTTGACTCAGTCCGTCACAGGTACCATCTCATATAAGTATAAAATTTTTAGAATCACGGCCAAGTCATCACAATGAGGAATATTGTTGGGCAATTGAGTCAGTAGGACTCAGAACGCACCTGACCACAAGCGTTATTTCTAATCACACGTGATTTCTTTGGTATTCTAATTACTAATCCATTAAGTTATGCGCACATGATGCGTTCATTAATGTCCTCGTATGGAAAGTCAAAGATTCGACTTCCATCGGTGCACACAGCACTGGTTGAGTCTGGTAGAATTCAAGATTCTCGACAGGAGATGGTACCATAGCAATGCTCTCCACCCAAAATGAGTCTTAGAAAGGGCTTTACGGAATGATTTTACGAGTTACAAGCATAGGAAATCATATACATAGGGAAAGTCAAACAGAGAGAACGTAGTCAATTAATTAAGGGCGCCAAGAAACCTATTCTCGTAGAAAGTAGTATACTAATTATCAACTTTTATGGTTCATGGATATGATTAGGTCCCCCATATCCAAGAAATTTAAGTTCGTGGTTTATCATGTCTCATCAAACTGGGACTGACAGTTGTGCATAATAGAACACACTGAATTTCACAAAAGGTTTTTAACAATTTGCTCAAGCAATTAATAAACTATGTCTATAAATTTGGAGTAAGTTTGATAAGGTTCAATGATCAACACAAAGAAGGACAGTAGTCGAAGGCTTATAATTGATTGGAGCCTTCTTAGAAGTAATTTGAAAAAGGAGCTGGGTAAAGCGAAGTAAATCATAGTACGCACAATAGCAGATAAAATCGATAAACAAACAAAGTGAAAAGAAGTCATCATTGGCAAACTCAGTGGAAATCAATATTTTTTGGAATTAGGGTTTTGGGGAAAATCAATAATCATACCGGTCTAACGTTGGCGTGGTGCGATGGGACAACACAGTATTCTTCCTAATTATAGATTACTTTTACAAATTTACTGTCATATAGTACAGCTTGTAGGCATTATAATTAAAATTGATAGATTTGGTCTTCTATGCACCTAATAGCTACAAAAATAAAGCAGCCCATTGAAAAAGACTTCTGCTTTCCGAAAACGTCTCTCCTCCTTCTGTTAATGTTTTTGTGACAAAAAAAGCAGCAGCAATTTGACACTCAAAAAATATCATGTAATTTTGTAAAGATTAACATGTAAATCCACTTATTATCTTACATATTTTCGAAAAAGTCTGCAGCTGATGAGAAAAAATGTATTTTGTTAATATGATTATCTCATAGTTAATTATGTCAACATTAAATTTCTTCCGATGTTTCAATTAATTCCAGCAAACTGAGAAAAATGTAGTTCGCATGATTTTTGATTACATTATTAAGTATGTAAACAAATCCATAGGATGATTTGCCGCTGTAATTATTTCTGCTTAATAATTTTTTACCTTAACGACGCTAAGTGAGTTGGAAGCGGGTGTTTCCTTTTTTCTGTAGTCTCCTCTATTAATGGTTCCTTTGAAATCACTTGTTCTCATAGTCACTCACTTTTTTGTTAGGAAAAAGCAACAAGGACAAATAAAGTTTGTTGAAGTAACAATATTTGACTAAAGATCAATCAAATTGATCACCACAATTTAATACTGCTTATCGAGCTCTGCTAATTAAAAATACTAATGATATAATACTATTCTGTTTTCTCGACCTTTATATGAAAAAAATTAATAAGACTGACAAGGCCGGGCATCACACTTTAACAACTGATTATTGTAAATACTGGTTATGGTAGGGTCTGAATTCGCTCAGTAAACCAAATAATTAATCATAAATTTTGGATTTTTACACGTGAACTACCTACTAACTGAGAATTACATAACCC